CTGCCCCACCTCATTACCTTGCCTTCTGCAAGGGGAAGTGCCTCAGGCTGCAGTCTGCTCTGTCTACAGACTGAAGGTGCATTTGTCCAGTGGCTTGGGATGTGCTGGTGGTAGGATGGACTGTCTTTGGGTGGAGAGCCGCAGCCCCAGTTTCCCAGAGCTCTGCCATGGCTGACTCCTGACCTCGGCAACTTGCTTCCTCTCTTCCAGCCTCTATAAAAGGTGATGAAACCCATTCCCTCCTTACCTCACAAGAGAGCTGCATTGCAAGCGCACATTGTATCAGGTGTGCCAGATGTGGCTTGAACCTTTGGAGACACCCAGCTCACACCCATGAAGACGGGCTTTCACCAGAGAAGGAAATCTCTGGCTGCTGCATTTGGTGGGCTCCTCGCAGACTGGTCCGGAAAACCTGGTGTTCATCTTGAAGGCGGCTGCTGTGCCCAACAGGTGACAGGGCTGACAATACTACCAGAACCATGAACCAGAACCTATTTCCAAAGAATGAAGGTTCCATCTCTCTGACACAAAAGCAAGAGCAAGAGATAGCCCTCACCCATCATCACCCTATTCCTAATACAAACAGCTCCCTAAGACCATGTTGCTAAACTACCTAGGATCAGGGAGTGTGGCTTGTCAGAGTGAATCCTCCACCCCACTCCCCCAGGTCAGTGCCTACTGTGCTGGGCTCTCTGATCAGTCGTGCCTGGGCTCTCTTCTCTAAATTCCTATGGAATCAGACCATGAAGAGGAAACAGAGACCTTGGCTGTTCACAGAGGAGCCCAGGAGGTCAGGACCACCCACAAGGATGGTGAGAGGAGGGCTCAGGGCATCCCTGGAGAAATTAATGCTGAAGAAAAAATTCCAAAAACCAGGAGCGCCCAAAACTGGGCGGCCCAGGCTCTAGAGTTCCAGAGTTTCCTAGTGGGCAGGTTTGCCTCCTCCCTCAGCTCATTCCTGTGTTCTGAGAAGGAAGAAGCAGAGGAAAGCTGGAAGGGGAGATGGCAGGACCCAGAGAGATCCTCAGGACTCTCCCAGCCTTCGTTGCCATGGCAACATTGCTATTTTTATCCTGTTGTTCATGATGCTCAAAGCTCTGACTTTTCTCTCTTCCAGAGAGGCCAGGCTGGCTTCTGCCCTCATCCTTCAATGAAGCACTTTCTCCCAGAGGCCGAGAAGGAAAAAGAGTAATAGAGGAAAGGGGAACCCACTGGGTCACCGCTCAACCAGGGGAACCGGTAGACAACTGCTTGCCTCTGCACTTTTGAGCCTTTGGTCTTCCAGTTGGCTTAGGCACTCAGTTTCATATTTTCAAGGAGATCACAACTCCCCGTGGCCTCCCTGAGAGGCTGTCCCCTCAAAAAAGGAAGAGGTACTGCTCGACATGAGTTTTCCCATACAGCTATGACACGGGCTGCTGCCCTTCTTGGCTCTGAAGAATGTCCTGTTGGTACAAGCCAACCCCTGGCCCCTTGAAAGGAGATGGAGAGCTGAGTTTGGTTAACAATCAGATCCACTCAACATCGCTGGGGAATCGAGACCAGTACATCCCTTTCTTCTCCCCCTCCACCAAAGAACTGGAGCAACTGGGTTTCATGTCTTCATCCAGTCTTTATGCTCAAAGCAGGTTAGCATTCTCCAGGCTGGAAAGCGGACTCCTGGGTTCCCATCCTTTCCTAACCCCTATACAGCCTTGCTTCTCTGCAGGGGCTTGAGGTGAAGGCAGGGTTTAATGAAAGGATTTCTTAGAGCTGTTCTGTCCCATACCCGGGTCCTCTCCCTATGTCCCCACTTCCACCTCAGTAGCAAGGTGCCCCTGAGAGTCAATGGTGCTAACATCCCCCACATATATGCTCTGATGGTCGGTGAGATTTGAACTCGGCAGCTGTGGTGGTTTGGTTGGGGGCATAGCACTTCATGTGTGTCCTCAAGGTCATGACCCTGGAGACAGATCCAAGTCTTAACCCAGTTAAAGTAGCAATCATTGTGTTGGACTCCTGCAATGAGGTTCTACCTCAGCTGAACTGACTCCTGGATGGCTCCTTTTTCTAGGGTGGCTGGGACCCATTTACTAAGCCTCCACTTGGTTTCATTTTGGCTCAAGTTGCACAGTTTCCCAAATCTATGCAACTGGAGTAAGCACTTTTCTGGTTGCCTCTGAAAAGCATGCCGGCAAATGCTGCTCTGTTAATTGCTGTAATAAACAGACTTTATTATATCCCTTTGCAGTAAACGAATTATGTTGTCAGGGTAGATGGGGCCCCCGTGTTTATTTCTCACTGTGATACACTGCAGCAGCAGAAGCTAAACATTTCCAGCAAATCTGCTGGGGAGAGGAAGAAGAAGGAGACTGGGAGGAAGAGTCAGGAGCATGAACATAAAGTGAGGTGACGGGGCCTAGGAGGATACTTCTGAAGCCCCTGGAGCTGTGAGCCTCACCTGTGCTATCTGTAAATTGAGGGAGGCCGGCCCCCTGCCTCCTAGTGTCACAGAGAAATGGTGGGATAAAGCTGGCTGGAGGAGATGGGGTGGGGAACAGGGAACGTGCTTTAAGACTACAATGTGATCACATAGACTTAAAGGTACTTTTATTT